GTCACTGGGTAGTGAGACATTGGGTAGTGAGACACTGGGTAGTGAGACACTGGGTAGTGAGACACTGGGTGGTGAGACACTGGGTAGAGAGACACTTGGTAGAGAGCACTGGGTAGTGAGACATTGGGTAGTGAGACACTGGGTGGTGAGACACTGGGTAGTGAGACACTGGGGGTGAGACACTGCTAGTGAGACACTGGGTGGTGAGACACTGGGTAGTGAGACACTGGGTGGTGAGACACTGGGTAGTGAGACACTGGGTAGTGAGACACTGGGTAGTGAGTCACTGGTAGTGGGACACTGGGTAGTGAGACACTGGTAGAGAGACACTGGGTAGTGAGACAATGGGTAGTGAGACACTGGGTAGTGAGACACTGGGTAGTGAGACACTGGGTAGTGAGACACTGGGTAGTGAGACACTGGGTAGAGAGACACTGGGTGGTGAGACACTGGGTGGTGAGACACTGGGTGGTGAGACACTGGGTAGTGAGACACTGGGTGAGAGACACTGGGTGGTGAGACACTGGGTAGAGAGACACTGGGTAGTGAGACACTGGGTAGAGAGACACTGGGTAGAGAGACACTGGGTAGTGAGACACTGGGTAGTGAGACATTGGGTAGTGAGACACTGGGTAGAGAGACACTGGGTGGTGAGACACTGGGTGGTGAGACACTGGGTAGTGAGACACTGGGTGGTGAGACACTGCCCATCTGTCATCTGTAAGATGTGTCTGCCATTCTCCCACTCCGGTGGTGGGTGTACACCCAGGACCCCATTCAAACCCATAGTGGCCTGGTCTCAGCTCGCTGATGAAAGTTGTAAGCGAGAATTGCATCATCGATTGCGGCTGGGGTTTGCATCATCCCCCACTCCTGATGTCGAGGGAAAATGAGCAAGGTTTAGGACTGTGGCTCATGCAGCTGCAATGGCTGCTTTGGGTACACCATCCAGACCTCCCCAGAGACCCTGGCTGACAGAGGTGGTGTTCATGCTGGTTGAGAAAAAGCGACAGGCCCACTCTCATCGTCTACACTGTAGACTGTAGCCTCATTCTCTGACAGTGGGATGCTGTAGACTCTACAGCATCCCACTGTCAGAGAATGAGGCTTAGCGCAGCCTTCGCTCGGAGGTTCGGAGAGCCGTGAGGCGCTGCAAGGATGGTTGGTGGTCGTGTGTTGCTGAGGAGATGGAGTCTGCCTCAATGGCCCACGATCACAAATCGCTCTTTAATTCCATCAAAAAGTAACCTGCAGCACCACCCTATTACCATCCTTAGGGGAAAGAACGGAGATTCAATCTACGACCCCCAGGAACAGGTTTGCAGATTTGCTGAGCATTTCTGTGAGGACCTGGGGGAGGGGAAATCCCTCAGCCTGGAAAACATCATGGCACAAAGTGGGGATAACCCTGCTGAGGCTGAGGTGCCTCAAATATGGGAAGAAGACACCCCCTGTGAGTGGCTGGCTAGTGGTGTTAGTGGTGGCGGTGGCGACGGTGGTGGTGTTGGTGTTAGTGGTGGTGTTGGTGGTGGCGACGGTAGTGGTGTTAGTGGTGGTGTTGGTGGCGACGGTAGTGGTGTTGGTGGTGGTAGTGGTGTTGGTGGTGGTGTTGGTGGTGGTAGTGTGGTGGTGGTGGCGACGGTAGTGGTGTTGGTGGTGGTGTTGTGGTGGTGTTGGTGGTGGTAGTGGTGTTGGTGGTGGTGTTGGTGGTGGTGTTGGTGGTGGCGTGTGTTATGGTGGCGACGGTAGTGGTGTTGGTGGTGGTGTTGGTGGTGGACGGTGTGGTGTTGGTGGTGGTAGTGGGTTGGTGGTGGTGTTGTGGTGGCGACGGTAGTGGTGTTGGTGGTGGTGTTGGTGGTGGCGACGGTAGTGGTGTTGGTGGTGGTGTGGTGGTGGTGGTGTTGGTGTGGCGGTGTTGGTGGTGGTAGTGGTGTTGGTGGTGGTGTTGGTGTTGGGGTGGTGTTGGTGGTGGCGGTGTTGGTGGTGGTGTTGGTGGTGGTGTTGGTGGTGGTAGTGGTGTTGGTGGTGGCGACGGTAGTGGTGTTGGTGGTGGTAGTGGTGTTGGTGGTGGTGTTGGTGTTGGCGACGGTAGTGGTGTTGGTGGTGGTGTTGGTGGTGGTGGTGGCGGTGGTGTTGGTGGTGGCGGTGTTGGTGGTGTGTAACCCCTCACCCAGCCTCCGTGCTCCATGAGCCAGCTTCTGCGTTCGACCAGCAGCACAGCGGCCACCAGGTCCGTCAGGGGCCGCGTCTTCTCCGAGTCTCCCAGCCGCCCGCAGGCCCCGAGACTCTTGACGAGCAGCGCGCAGTACACCACCGCGGACAGGACGCCGTCCCAGCTCAGGGGCGCTCCGTTGAAAACCTTCCAGGCCATGGTCATGACCAGCCGGCGCGGCTCCACTCGCTTCGCCAGCCGCTCCGCGCCGCTCACAAAGTCCGGGATGGAGGCTTCGAACTCCGCCAGCAACACGTCCCCTCGGGTGTCGAACGCCTCCTGCAGCCGCTCCGCACGCAGCCGCACCAGCCGCTGGGAGCTCTGCAGCTGCGCCCCGGCCTCCCGCACCTGCCGCTGGAGTTGACGCACTTGCCGCCGCAGCTCCTGAAGGTCCTCGAACTGCTGCGACTGCTCCAGATGCTCCTGTTGCATTAGCTGCAGCTGCTCGAACCGAAGCATCAGCTGCTGCTCCTGCTGCTCCTGCACTTCCTGTAGCAGCTGCAGCAGCTGCTGCAGCTGCTCCTGCTGCTGCTGCTCCTGCTGCTGCAGCTGCTGCTGCAGATGCTCCTGCTGCTGCACAAGCTCCTGCTGCTGCAGCTGCTGCACAAGCTTCTGTTGCTGCTGCAGCTGTTGCACAAGCTCCTGTTGCCGCTGCACCTTCTGGAGCTGCTCCTGCACCTGCTGCGCCAGCTCCTGTTGCCGCTGCACCTGCTGGAGCTGCTGCTGCACCTGCTGCATGTGCTGCAGCTGCTGCTGCCAGAGCGTCTCCGCCCGCTGCCGCTGCTGCTGCTGCGCCAGCTCGAGATGTCGCTGCAACTCCGGGAGCTGCTCCTGCACCTCCTGAAGCTGCCGCTGCTGCAGTCGCTGATGCACAGGCTGCTGCTGCTGCTCCTGCTGCTGCTTGCGGAGCTGCCGCCGCTGCTCCGGCTGTTGCGTCAGGTGAGCTACGTAGCCGGTGATTAGATCGACGGTCATGACGGTCAGTAGCTCCATCGCTTCATCATCTTCCTCCTCCTCGCCGCCACCGACCCTCGCCTGAATCTCCCCCGCAGAATGCGACGCGGCTTGGGCAGAGGCCGCAGGCTGCATGGCGGTGTAGGCCTCAGTGGCGGGTGTTGACTTCGTTGTTGCTGATTCCGCTGCCGCTGCTGCTGTGGGAGGGTCGTTGATGTCGCGAGGCAATTGAGGAGGTGGAGGAGGTGGTGGAGGGTGGTGGAGGAGGTGGAGGTGGTGGCAACTTCGCGACTCGCTGGGAGCTGATGGCGTCTCCCTCCATTGCGATTTGGTTCTCGGTGATGGCGTCGGATCGATCCGTGGATCGAGAGCAATCGATTCCTCCATGCGATAACGTTAGAATCGACTTCGATTGCAAGCCGTCGGTCCGATTCTGACCTCGATTCACGATCCGCACGGAGGGGGGGGGTCACAGAGACCCATAGACTACAGTAGAGATAGATAATAATAAATAAATCAATATTTTTAATAAATAACATTATTAATCACGACGTGCAGTTTACTTTGCTGCCTTTTTACACCTGACGAAGGAAGCTTGTGTTGCCCCCGAAACGTCGTGATTATTATTTTATTTATATTATTTCTATTATTTTTTTATTTTCATTTTTTATTTTACGGCCAAAACAGTTGACTATTCTGAACGGTCGTGGGCCTCCCCCAGGTCACTCGGCCTAAAAGTAGTTCCCGGTGCGGCGATCATCATCACTCCGTAGTGAGAGACAAGCGACAACCAGCTGTGCCATAGATTTATTAATAAACGACTTGAGTTCTTAGCGTGCGGAGACACGTATTACACCTGTATGGGTCTGTGTGGTGAGTCTGTGGGTCCTCTGGTGGGAGTCTGGGTTCATGTGTGGTGTCTGTGGGTCTCTGTGTGGGAGTCTGTGGGTCTCTGTGTGGTTAGTCTGTGGGTCTCTGTGTGGTGAGTCTGTGGGTCTCTGTGTGGTGAGTCGTGGGTCTCTGTGTGGTGAGTCTGTGGGTCTCTGTATGGTGAGTCTGTGGGTCTCTGTGGTGAGTCTGTGGGTCTCTGTGGTGGTATGTGGGTCTCTGTGTGGTGAGTCTGTGGGTCTCTGTGTGGTGAGTCTGTGGGTCTCTGTGTGGTGAGTCTGTGGGTCTCTGTGTGGTGAGTCTGTGGGTCTCTGTGGTGAGTCTGTGGGTCTCTGTGTGGTGAGTCTGTGGGTCTCTGTGTGGTGAGTCTGTGGGTCTCTGTGTGGTGAGTCTGTGGGTCTCTGTGTGGTGAGTCTGTGGGTCTCTGTGTGGTGAGTCTGTGGGTCTCTGTGGTGAGTCTGTGGGTCTCTGTGTGGTGAGTCTGTGGGTCTCTGTGTGGTGAGTCTGTGGGTCTCTGTGTGGTGAGTCTGTGGGTCTCTGTGTGGTGAGTCTGTGGGTCTCTGTGTGGTGAGTCTGTGGGTCTCTGTGTGGTGAGTCTGTGGGTCTCTGTGTGGTGAGTCTGTGGGTCTCTGTGTGGTGAGTCTGTGGGTCTGTGTGGTGAGTCTGTGGGTCTCTGTGTGGTGAGTCTGTGGGTCTCTGTGTGGTGAGTCTGTGGGTCTCTGTGTGGTGAGTCTGTGGGTCTCTGTGTGGAGTCTGTGGGTCTCTGTGTGGTGAGTCTGTGGGTCTCTGTGTGGTGAGTCTGTGGGTCTCTGTGTGGTGAGTCTGTGGGTCTCTGTGGTGAGTCTATGGGTCTCTGTGTGGTGAGTCTGTGGGTCTCTGTGTGGTGAGTCTGTGGGTCTCTGTGTGGTGAGTCTGTGGGTCTCTGTGTGGTGAGTCTGTGGGTCTCTGTGTGGTGAGTCTGTGGGTCTCTGTTGGTGAGTCTGTGGGTCTCTGTGTGGTGAGTCTGTGGGTCTCTGTGTGGTGAGTCTGTGGGTCTCTGTGTGGTGAGTCTGTGGGTCTCTGTGTGGTGAGTCTGTGGGTCTCTGTGGTGAGTCTGTGGGTCTCTGTGTGGTGAGTCTGTGGGTCTCTGTGTGGTGAGTCTGTGGGTCTCTGTGTGGTGAGTCTGTGGGTCTCTGTGTGGTGAGTCTGTGGGTCTCTGTGTGGTGAGTCTGTGGGTCTCTGTGTGGTGAGTCTGTGGGTCTCTGTGTGGTGAGTCTGTGGGTCTCTGTGTGGTGAGTCTGTGGGTCTCTGTGTGGTGAGTCTGTGGGTCTCTGTGTGGTGAGTCTGTGGGTCGTGTGGTGAGTCTGTGGGTCTCTGTGTGAGTCTGTGGGTCTCTGTGTGGTGAGTCTGTGGGTCTCTGTGTGGTGAGTCTGTGGGTCTCTGTGTGGTGAGTCTGTGGGTCTCTGTGTGGTGAGTCTGTGGTCTCTGTGGTGAGTCTGTGGGTCTCTGTGTGGTGAGTCTGTGGGTCTCTGTGTGGTGAGTCTGTGGGTCTCTGTGTGGTGAGTCTGTGGGTCTCTGTGTGGTGAGTCTGTGGGTCTCTGTGTGGTGAGTCTGTGGGTCTCTGTGTGGTGAGTCTGTGGGTCTCTGTGTGGTGAGTCTGTGGGTCTCTGTGTGGTGAGTCTGTGGGTCTCTGTGTGTGAGTCTGTGGGTGTGTGGTGAGTCTGTGGGTCTCTGTGTGGTGAGTCTGTGGGTCTCTGTGTGGTGAGTCTGTGGGTCTCTGTGTGGTGATCTGTGGGTCGTGTGGTGAGTCTGTGGGTCTCTGTGTGTGAGTCTGTGGTCTCTGTGTGGTGAGTCTGTGGGTCTCTGTGTGGTGAGTCTGTGGGTCTCTGTGTGGTGAGTCTGGGTCTCTGTGTGGTGAGTCTGTGGGTCTCTGTGTGGTGAGTCTGTGGGTCTCGTGTGGTGAGTCTGTGGGTCTCTGTGTGTGAGTCTGTGGGTCTCTGTGTGGTGAGTCTGTGGGTCTCTGTGTGGTGAGTCTGTGGGTCTCTGTGTGGTGAGTCTGTGGGTCTCTGTGTGGTGAGTCTATGGGTCTCTGTGTGGTGAGTCTGTGGTCTCTGTGTGGTGAGTCTGTGGGTCTCTGTGTGGTGAGTCTATGGGTCTCTGTGTGAGTCTATGGGTCTCTGTGTGTGAGTCTATGGGTCTCTGTGTGATGAGTCTACGGGTCTCTGATTGGTGAGTCTATGGGTCTCTGTGTGATGAGTCTATGGGTCTCTGTGTGGTGCGGTCTACGGGTCTCTGTGTGATGAGTCTACGGGTCTCTGTTGAACTTATTTTGTGCCGTGCGTAGCCAACCACACTAATCAGCGGTGAGGGGGAAGGACAACAAACTAAGCACAACGAACAGTTTTGTGTTTCGTCTGACGATTATCAGCGGCTGCCAACACAATCTCGTGACGGTGGCTCACTGCACTCACAATCACGCGGCGTTCATTGCTCCCCGACCTTGCCCCCCGGTGACATGACGTCTCCCTGACCTCACCTGTGCACATCACTACTCCGCCGCTGTAAACATTCATGAGTTCAAAACACTAAAGCAGAACCTCTCACTTAGAACCGTTCCACGCGGCGCCGCAGACTCAACGCCGACGCAAACTGCAGCTTGTTGTGTTGCACTTGTCGCCTTTCCTCGCACCTCCGATTAGCACGGTGGGCTATGTACGGTGCAGAAGAAGTTCAACGTACATACAGATATTCCCACCGAGATTCATAGACTCACCACACAGAGACCCATAGACTCACCACACAGAGACCCATAGACTCATCACACAGAGACCCATAGACTCACCACACAGAGACCCATAGACTCATCACCCCGAGATCCATAGACTCACCACACAGACCCATAGACTCACCACACAGAGACCCATATACTCACCACACAGAGACCCATAGACTCATCACACAGAGACCCATAGACTCATCACCCCGAGATCCATAGACTCACCACACAGACCCTTAGACTCACCACACAGAGACCCATAGACTCATCACCCCGAGATCCATAGACTCACCACACAGACCCATAGACTCACCACACAGAGACCCATAGACTCATCACCCCGAGATCCATAGACTCACCACACAGACCCATAGACTCACCACAGAGAGACCCATAGACTCACCACACAGACCCATAGACTCACCATAGACTCACCACACAGAGACCCATAGACTCATCACCCCGAGATCCATAGACTCATCACACAGAGACCCATAGACTCACCACACAGAGACCCATAGACTCACCACACAGACACCCATAGACTCACCACACAGACCCATAGACTCATCACACAGCCCATAGACTCACCACACAGAGACCCATAGACTCATCACACAGACCCATAGACTCACCACACAGACCCATAGACTCACCACACAGAGACCCATAGACTCACCACACAGACCCATAGACTCACCACACAGAGACCCACAGACTCAACACACAGAGACCCACAGACTCACCACACACAGACCGCTAGACTCACACAGACCCACAGACTCACCACACACAGACCGCTAGACTCACACAGACCCACAGACTCACCACACACAGACCGCTAGACTCACACAGACATTGCAGATGCGCAAAAGAAGAAAGTTCCACACCGAGGGGACGACAATATTTCGAGAAGCGTTCGTGATTTCGATTTAAAGCTTTCGTGACTGCAGGGATTCATCTTCTTGGTTCTTTCGGTAAAGTCACGTAGAAGGGAAGTAATAAAATAATAAAAATAAAACATAATAAAACAATTCTCACGACGTTGTGGCCGAAACGTCGTGAGAATTGTTTTATTATGTTTTATTTTTATTATTTTATTACTTCCCTTCTACGTGACTTTACCGAAAGAACCAAGAAGAAGCGTTCGTGAGTTGAGTTTTCTCGTTTGGTTGTTGTTGTTGTTGTTGCTGTTGTTGTTGTTGCTGTGTTGTTATTTTCCAGTGAACGGATGAGGACAGAGCGCCTACCTAGATCTTGAGATCCTGCGAATGGGAGAGAACGTCTCTGCTGAGCACAGGTACCGCACCACGGCAACTACACACACACACGTAGTAGGTGTTTACCCTTTATACTGGTACAAAAACTGACACCTTTATACAAGGCATCATGTTTGCAATAACCACAACACATGCAGTCAAAATGCAAACTAAAAGAAACAACTGTGATGATGATAATGATATTCACTGTCCTTGAAGTTGATTGGTCCACA